CTTCATCAAAAGCTAAATAGTGTCCCTCATTTGCAAGGTTTACCGAGCATACAGTCTGTAGCAATTTCTGTAGCTGTGAATCATCATGAACTTGAGCTAAAAAGTGCGTTACAGAACTTGCGTACTTAAACTTTCCAGCTGCAGGGAAAAGGTGTGTGAATGCAGCCAAATTTGCTATCTGCATTCTATAATTTCCCTTTCTAATTCCAATTTTATGCTCCATGAAGTATCCTGTCCAACAGAAGAAAAGATACCATACCTTCGTTAATTGATTATCACCCTTCAAAATATCATTCATGATTTTCCCTTTGTCTTTCACATGCTGAGATAACGCAATTCTGACTGCAATCCAGATCAATTCCAAAACATGACACGTTGCCCTGTAATCTACGACGCATTCAAATTTATCTAAGTATCGTACGTCAAGGGCTGCTACAATGTTGAATATTCCATACCCTGAGAATATCGTAATTAGAGTGCTGCACATATCTTTAGATGTGTGTCACTGCCCCAAGAGAAGTCAAACATCGTTGTTAATTTTCTTATAAGAGATTAACCTCGCAAAAATTGTCTGGTCACACACAATATATAGACTGTTACCATGAGGTAAATCACCATGGTACATTTCACATGCTGCATGAACATTTTCATTACAATTGGGTGGATCACCAGGTTTCAATATCACGACATTTGTTGGTAAAGTATTGCGAACTACAGGTACTTGTTTGGTGATTTCTGAATGCACATCTTCCATACCAAAGTCATTTATACGAGTTTCTAACATTGTATTCAAAATAGTCTCGTACATCACTAGAAGATTGTTGGTGGTTGAGGATTCCCCGAACAGTGGTTGATTGATGGAATTCTGGTCTCCGACTAGATTGTCAAGAGAGGTAGGCAGAACGAACTGAAATATCATTCGTAATGTTGTATGTGAAGTTTGTCGCGTAGTGTTGAAAATATTGTCATATTGGAACGTAGAAGCCTTGAAGTCAATATTGTCGATTATTACCAGATTCCAAATATTTGATCCTTTGATTAAATTCTTTTTAGGATCTGTATGGTGAATCCAGGATTCTTCAAGACGATTCTCATGCCGCTTGGTGTAAGATACGACACAAGCTGAACAGAGGATCTCTCTTAGGTACGGCAATAATTTTGGTTTTTGGAAAATTGACGACATTATATTTGAAAGTCAGAATTTCACTTCAGGAAAAGCGATGGTCAGCAGCATGGAAGTTAATAAAGTAGTGATCTTTGATGCTTGACGTGATCTTTGATGCTTGACGTGATCTTTGATGCTTGACTTGTGTCAAGTGATTTTGAGGGAAGTCCACGTTGGCACCTTTTTTTATTAACAATCTTTTGCTTTCATTGTTGTAACACTGTAATGAGAGCTTGAAAGAAGCTGCAAATGGTGTTAGGCAGCGCATTGAAATAATTTTCATATGAGTCTGAATTTTCTAGTTGACTGATATTTTTTTGAATTTCAGAATGTGAGGATAAAACTTCTCTTCCTAATTTTTCACCCATTTTTGAAGCCTTTTCCGGAGTTACTACGTAAGTTCTTTCCTTCATTGCTTTATCTTTTCCCATTTTCAATGCTATTCTAACAATTAACTTGCTTGGGAGATTTGTCGTTTCGATTTCCGGTGAGTTTTGATCTGCTTTGTTAAGAATGGTTAGTGTTGGAGTTATCAGTGCGAGGAGTCCTTCTTGCAGATTTAGATCGCTTGACTTTGCTACTGATATTAATCATTTTCCGATATCCCTTAGAGCATCACTTGTATCATCACAATGCTTTCCACGTTCAGTACATGATACAGTTTTTTGGCCTTTACCCAATCTTTCGTAAAAGTGCTCACTCTCTTGTTTGAAGCATTCTGAGCAGATGTAACGCACATGAGAACTTGTAAATAATTTTTGTGCAATGGATCCCTCAGTAAACGCGGAACAATCAAAAGCACTGACACATGGCACTTGAATGTTGCATCCATTGATGTTCCATGAATGCGTTGAGACGATGGTGCTATTCGGGTATAAGAGTTATGGAAGAGTGTTATTACTCTTCAACTTTAAGGTATTTATAAATAGAATAGTTTATTT